TTTTTTTTTTTTTTTTGGTTTTTCAAGACCGGGTTTCTCTGTGGCTTTGGAGCCTGTCCTGGAACTAGCTCTGTAGACCAGAGATCCGCCTGCCTCTGCCTCCCAAGTGCTGGGATTAAAGGCGTGCGCCACCATCACCTGACCTAGTCTTCAATTTTTAAAGTAATATAGTTACAGTACAGACTCCTTTCAGATATCACATAGTGAAGAGGGTTTCCTTTACTTCAACTGCTCCTAGGACAAACAAAAACAGCTCAGTGCTGTGTCTGTACTGGGCATAGCTGTGATGTCCTCCACTGTCTCAGCATCATGTGACTTTGAAGTAGTTTTCCATGGCTGCAGTTGCTACTCTGTCTGACAGCTTAATTGTGTGGCTCCTGTCATCTCCCCAGTTAGAGATGAAGCAGAAGTCCCTGGTGAGCCTGGGAAGTGAGGCAGAAGAATAACGTGGTTTGGAAGCAGCAGAGGTGAACCCAGAGAGCCTGGGTGAGTGTGCCAATATGAGCTTCCACAGCTGGGCCATTGGGTTTCCTTTCTAAACCTGGGAATAGGTGCCCACCTTCCAGGTTATCTTAATTGAGTCGTGTTGACCTAGGGAAGTAAGAAAGGAAATGGAGAAAATGCCACAGAGGAGTTACTGTTCACCTACACGCTTGAAGTGGAGCATCTTTGTAATGACTTCTCTCGTATGAGATGTTTAAAGTAGTGCACATTGACTAGCCATGGAAATTAAATAACTACTATTAATTTTTAGAATGCATAATGTCTGTTAATACTTTTTAAGACTTTTTTAAATAATGTATATATGCACATATATAAATGCATATATATCATCTATATATATATAAAACTTATATATAAATGCATATATATATTCATTTGTCTCTGGGTATGTGCACATGAGTGCAGTGCCCATGGAGTGTTTCTGATCCCCTGGAGCTAGAGTTACAAGAAATTGTAAGCTGTCTGATGTCAGTCTGGGAGTCAAACTCTGATCCTCTGTAAGAATAGTTTGCACTCTTAGCCACTGAGCTATCTCTCCAGCCTGGCTGTACTGTGTTTATAAAATATTTACAGATGAAAGTGCAGTGACAGGAAAAGCTGTGTGCAAGTTATCAGGGAGAGGGAATAGGACACCAGATTGGCTGTGGTTGACAATTATTGAGACTGAGTATTGGGTTTATAGCAGGGTCCTTCTACTGCTATATCTAGATGTGTTTGAAATGATCATGTCTATACAACTTTAGAAAGTGTGCTATACTCGTGGCAAGATCCTGATTTGTACAGTGAGATAAGACCTGATTCTGTTCTGTCAGTAGGTGCACATGGAACAGCTCTCATGAAGGCATTTCTTGCCATTAGTTATGAAGTTTAAATAGATTATTCTTTCTCCAAAAGTAGATTGTAAGTTTAATTTTGACTTTTTCTTGTTTTTATTTGTTTTCATTTAGCAAAAGAATGCATTCAGAAAAGTCTTTTATTACTGAAATTTTTGCCCACAAGCAAAAGTTCAAAAGAAAACTGTGACAAATTGGTGCCTGTTGATGAAACTGATCATCTCCAGCCACTTGACAGGCGCCAGAGGACAAGCTCTGTGGTGGAAGAGCATTTCCAGGCTTCAGCATCCCCTACAGAAGCTGCAGCCTCGACTACAGGTGGTGACAAGAGTCCTGGCTTGGAGATCCAGCCAAAGCTACCACCAAGCAGTGGCCCCTCTGCTACAGAAGTGTCCACAGCTGAAGAGCCCTCATCGCCATCCACACCCACCCGGCGGCCTGCCTTCACCCGAGGGCGACTTCGGCTGCTCTCTTTCAGATCCATGGAGGAGACCAGGCCAGTCCCCACAGTCAAAGAGAAATACCCTGTGCTGAAGGATGTCATGGACTTCATAAAAGATCAGTCACTCTCACATGAGAGGTGAGCCAGTCATTCTCTTCCAGCACTTTCCCTTTTCAAGCTGTAGGTACCCACTCTAGCCAAAGGCTTGAAGTTCATGTTTAAAATGAACAATAAGGGATAAGAGAAAAGATACAATCAAAATATAGTGCATAAAAAATTTTAAATAAGATGAAATGACCCAATAATATTTAGGATACATCCAGACTTGAAATGAAATGAGCCAATAGTATTGGGGTACATACAGACTTGTTTTAAACTATTCAGGATAAAAAACTTGGTGGTTTTTTTTTTCCTCTCTCCTTAAGAAAATAATAAGATTGGTCCATTGTGGGCTGTTGATATAGCTCAGTTGGTAGAGTGCTCACTCAGCATGAAGAAGCTGTGAGTTTGACCTCTGCACTATGTTAAAACTTTGTGTGGTGGTTTATCTGTGATCCCTGCATTCGGGAGGTGGAGCACAAGAATCAGAAGGTCATCCTGATTTTACAGACAGCCTGGGATACATGAGACGTGTCTTAGAAAGAATTGTAGCTGGGCATCTTGACATAGACACCTTTAATCTCAGTGCTTGGGAGACAAAGGCAGGTGGATTTCTGTAAGTTCATGGACAGCTGGGGCTACGTAGATAGACCCTGTGTCAAAAAACAAACAAATTGTGTCCTTCACTGTATATAACATATATCTCAGTAATGTTTCCATGATCTTTTAAAATGAAAGTCTCTCTCTCTCTCTTTCTCCCCCCCTCCCTTCCTTCCCTTTCTTCCCTTCCTTCCTTTCTTCCTTTCTTTCACTTTCTTTCTTTCCTGCTCCTCCTCTTCCTCTTTCTGTTTCCTTCTCCTTTCCCTCATGTTTTTTTTATTTTTTTGGTGTTGTTGATACTAATCTTATTTTGCAGCCTAGACTGACCAAAAACTTAAAACAATCCCTCTGCCTCAGCTTCCTGAGTACTGTTATTATAGGCATAAACCACTACACCTAGCTTAAAAAGATACTACCACTCAAAATTTTTTCATATTGCAAGGGAGAAATTTAGGATTTGATATTTTCTGAAAAAATTATTTGTCCATAGGCCTATGTTAATGAGGAATTTCCTGCTGTAAGAATTAAAGTTTTGCCTCTTTAGGGAAAGTAAAGATACCAAAGTTCCTTTTTAGCTGTTTATCTTAAAAATAAATAAATAAATAAACAAACAAGCAAGCAGGCTGTTAACACTTCTTCATACTTGGTGCACACTGGTTTGTGGCTCCACTAAGTGTTGACTATAGGTAGTGCTCATTCTGACACTCCCAGTCCCTTACATCAGGACTGACTTTTGTTCATTTGGCTTCAGACTGTGGGGGAAGGGTTTGTTTTCCGGCATCCCTGACTTGAACTGTGTCTTCAGTGTTGTGAAGGTTCTTTCTTTGCGGAAAGCCCAAGCACAGAGCATCCTTGAAGTCCTGAGGATAATTCAGTATTGTACAGAATCCCTTGGACAGCCTCACTGCTTCCATCCACCGTATATACTTTTCCTACTGGAACTTCTGACCTGCCAGAAAGATTTTACAAAGTAAGTATAAATATGTCAGAAAAGCCAGGAGAGGCCATTTTACAGAAATCCTAGTTGGCCTCTGTATCAATAATTTCCATATATGATACAAATTTATTTTTTTGGTTAACATGTTCTCTCATCTCAAGAAAAAATGGGTTATATTCTTTTCATAAGGACCAAGACTATGATTATTTCTCTTACGGCTTTGTCTGCTTTACCTGACAGTAAGAATTGTGTTCTTTGTGTATCCGTACTCTTAGAAGGTTTCTAGAAGCTGTGTGCTAGCTAGATGCAGTGCTCATTTAAAGTGCTGTGCCAGACACCTTTCTAAGTATTATATAGACAAAAGAGATATGACAGGCAAGGTCTCTTTCTAATGGAGCCTTATGAGATGGAGAAAAGGGGATGACATCAGGATTATTTGGGAGACAGAGAAGATAAATGAAAGATACTAGAAACATGGGGAAAGAAACTCTTAGGATTTTGGTTGGAGTAGCTCTGTGGATAGTGTCACATTTTACTGAGAGAAGGGGTAATGAAAGACACAGATGGGGACAAAATTTTAAATTTTGTTTTTGCCATATGTTTGAACTATTTATTTTTCTATTATTTGCTTTTTCGAGACAGGGTTTCTCTGTGTAACGGTCCTGGTTTTCCTGGAGCTCATTATGTAAACCAGGCTGGCCTCGAATTCAGAGATCTACCTGCCTCTGTCTCCTGAGTGCTGGGATTAAAGGCCTGTATCACCACCACCTTAATTATTTTTATTTTTATTTTTATTTTCTGTGTATGGCTGTTTTGTCTGTATGTATACGTCTTTGCACCTCTGATCCCAACCTCCACTTGCATACATGATGCTCTAGAGGTCAGAATCGGACATTAGATCTCCTGGAACAAGACTTACGGAACTGGAGTAAGACACCATGTGGGTGATGTAAATTGAACATGTGTTCTTGACTGCTGAGCCATAGCTCCGTTCCCTGTTTTAAAGATAATGAGACGATGAGAATCTAAGGTACTATAATAAATCAGGACTAGGGATAAAATTTGTTTATCATGAACATGTGGATGATATTTAAAGCCATGGAACAGATGAATCCTAGACAGGCAGTGGTGTAGGACTGAGTCTTCATTTAGAAGTCAAGAGAAAGAGGGATCAACTAAGGCCATCAAGATGGAGAGTGGCCCTTGAGGTAGATTGACAACCCAGGTAGTGGTGTCATGAAAGCCAAGAGAATACTGTGTTTTCAACCCCTAGAATGGTCAGTTGAGTCAGATACTGATGTGAGAGTTTGAGATTGAAGTAGTGGATTGAAATGGAAACAGTTTTGGAGAATTGTAGCCTGAAGCCCAGTTGGATGAAAGATGATGGGTTGGTAACGTAGAAGGACAAGATTAGAAAAAAAAAAAAAAAAAAGAGCAAGAAAATATGGTGGCTCTTGGAAGAGGATGTGAGCAACCAAGGGTTGTATTGTTTTGCAGTGCTGGTCACTGAGCTGGAGTCTTGCTCAAGTTCAGCATGTGCTTTACCATGAGGCCTGCACATACAGGTGTGAAGATACTAGAGTATATGCTGGTGGGGATGAGTCAGCAAAGGTTAGGAAGTGCTGTCAGTGCCAGCAGGAAAAAGCAGGACATTCCAACAGTTCAGTAGATACAGGTTGGTTGGTAGATGGAGTACTACAAAGATGAGGGACTCCAATGGGATCATTCTGTTTTTAAAATAAGATATGAGGCTGGGCAGTGGTGGTGCATGCCTTTAATCCCAGCACCTGGGAGGCAGGGGCAGGCGAATCTCTGTGAGTTCGAGACCAACCTGGTCTACAAGAGCTAGTTCCAGGACAGGTTCCTAAAAGCTACAGAGAAACCCAGTGGTGATGCACTCCTTTAATTCTAGCACTTCAGAAGGCAGAGGCAGGCAAATCTCTGTGAGTTTGAGGCCAGTCTAGTCTATACAATGCTAGTTCCAAGACTGTGTTACACGGTGAAACCCTGTTTCAAAAAAACTAGATAGATAGATAGATAGATAGATAGATAGATAGATAGATAGATAGATAGATAGATAGATAGATAAAAAGATGAAGAGAGTCATCAGTGAAATGAGATAGAGAAGAAGGTAGTGACCATTCAAGGAAAAGCAGGAAGACTACGTAGAGACAAAAACTAAGACAGCCGGTTTGCTAAACTGCTTGACAATTTCAAGTACTTTTTAAAGAATTGTTTGTAAGTTGGGTCGGGTAGTACACTTCTGTATTCCTAGTGTTCAAGAGGCAGAATCAGGATTGTTTTGAGTTTGAGACCAGTAGAGGTAGTAAGTTCCAAGCCAGCTTGGACAATGTGGAACTTTCTCTCAAAAAAAAAAAAAAAAGGTGAGGGGCTAGAGTCTGTTGGCTGAGGTTTCCTGTCCTGCCTGATCCTGCAGCCATTCACAAGCTCTCTCAGGTTTTCTGTGGATGCAGTTGCCCCATGTTGGGCACCATTTGTTATCTGATATTTCTGTCCCACCCGGTCCTGCAGCCGTTCAGTCCCAAAGAAATACACAGAGGTATACATTAATCATAAACTGATTGGCCTATTAGCTTGGCTTCTTATTAACTCTTATAATTTATGTTAGCCCATAATTCTTGTCTGTGTTAGCCATGTGGCTTGGTACCTTTTTTGGCGAAGCAGTCACATCTTGCTTGCTCTGTTTCTGGCTTCCTTTATGTCTGGGTGACAACTGCAGACTGAATCTTTCCTCTTCCCCGAATTCTCGTTGCCCTGCCTCTACCTTTTGCCTGGTTGCCCTGCCTATACTTCCTGCCTGGCTACTGGCCAATCAGTGTTTATTTAAAATACGAGTGACAGGGTACAGACCATTGTCCCACAGCAAGAGTTGACTTGGATATAGGAGCATTTATTTTTGCAGGGGACCTAAGTTTAGTTTCCAGCACCTACATGGTAGGTCCTATCGTAAATCCAGTTCCAGAGGAATTCCCAATACTCTCTTCTGAATAGGCACACACATGTTACACATGCATACATATAGGCAAAATACTCATACACATAAAATTTTAAAAATTTGTTTAGTTTATTTCTTTGAGACATAGTCTCTCTTTAGTCCTGGCTTTCCTGGAACTTGCTATGTAGGTAGAAGACCAGGCTAGCTTCAAACTCACAGAGATCCTCTACCTCTGCTTCCCAAGTGCTGGGATTAAAGGTATGAGCTACCATGCCAAGCCTAAAAGAAATACTATTTTTAAAGAGAAAGAATAAAAACTGATGGCTATAAGTTTAAAATGACATTAGTCAGCTCAATTGCATGCTGGTCCTTCCACCTACATTCAGCTGTTTTGGAATAATGTAAGATCCTTATACAAGAGGAATTCCTCAGAGAAAGAGAAAGAGAGAGGCCAGGGAGCTGATGTTTCTAACATAGGAGTATGAGGGTAGATTATGGAATCCAAGCTGAGAAAAGAACAGAGGATGAGCATGCTGGATGTAGCTGATGGTGACATAGTGTGACTTCCTTGCCTGGGGCCCACTAGGATTGAAAAAGGACAAGAATTTGTTGGTGGGGTAGCTTTAAAGTGAGTCTTCACCTGATGACAATGTTAAGGAAGGGCCATCAAAGTGAAAATCGTTAGCAGTGAAGTGGACAGAGAATCAAGAGAAAAAGAAATGGGAGGCATCATTTCCATGGATGTTTTAGTCACTTAGGTGCAAGGGTCAAAGTATGAAAAGCCAGTGAACCAGCACTTGGAATGCATAGGCATTTCTGTAAGTTCCAGGACAGCCAAGACCTCACACAGAGAGCCTCTCTTGGGGGAAAAAAAAAAGTAAAACAGAAAAATAAAATGTAATACTAAAGTTATCAATGAAGGAAGAACAGATTGGGGGCATGTTGATATAGAGGGGGCTAAATGAGGTAACTAATAGAAAGAAAGCATGTGACATAGCATGGCACACTCATGTAGTGGGAACGGCTGCTGTGTTTGATTAACAAAGAGAGATGAGTAGTTGTCACTGCTATACTTCGGCTGGACTGTTCCTTTGACCCAACTGTACTTGCTCTCAAAAGGCCCTGTACTGGGCAGGCACGCCTTTAATCCCAGCACTTAGGAGGCAGAGGCAGGAGGATCTCTGTGAGTTCAAGGCCAGCCTGGTCTACAGAACTAGTTCCAGGACTGGCTCCATAGCTACTGAGAAACCCTGCTTTGAAAAGGGGGGGGGGGGCACTGTACCTGTTTTTATTCCAATCTCTATGCCTCTTTGTTCAGCTGTCTGCTTCTTGGCTGTTTTGTGTGAGGGATAAAGATTAATAACTTGAAGTTGTCCTGGATATTAAGCTGGCGATTTTCTCTGTTTCCAGTTACTTTGGACACTTGGAAGGCTGCGGTGCTGATCTACACAAAGAAATCCGAGACACCTACTATCAACTTGTTCTGTTTTTGGTTAAAGCAATTAAAGGATTTAATAGCATAAACGACAGGTACTGGAGTGCCTCTACATTTCTTGCCGAAAAATGTAATCTTTTGTGATTATAAATGAAACACACATTTGATGTTGAAAATCCAGAAAAGCACAAAATTAACCACAAATATTCACTTACTAGTATATTCTGTGTGTGTGTATAAAATGTGTGCATTGGATAGGTTTCTGGAAATCTAAGAGTTTATAGCCTGTTATCTTCAGTGTTTGATGTATTATGTGTAGATTAAAACTCGAGTACAAAGCAGATTAAGTAGTAAGTTGTTTAGACGTAACCCTTAAATCAGACGTACCCCTGTAGCTGTCTAGCCTCAGCTAATTTGGGCCTGCCCTAATGTTGTCATTCATCAGTGCATGACTTCACTGTTCACTCCCTCACTGTCAGGTGCTCCAAACTCACTTTCCACTTTTCAGATTGTTGGGTTTTTTGGTTTTTGTTTTTTTCCCTAAGGATATCAAAGGATATTTGTGTAGAACCCTGCCTTACAAATTAGTACCAAAGCAGGCTGCCAACTTACACTGTCCCTGTTGGCAGTGGGCAACTTTGGTAATTGTCACCTATGTGGTCTCTTTAGGTCTCTGCTCCCTGCTTTATCCTGTGTTCAGACAGCCCTGCTTCATCTTTTGGATATGGGCTGGGAACCCAGTGATCTTGCCTTCTTTGTTGACATTCAGTTACCAGATCTTCTCATGAACATGTCACAAGAAAATATCAGTGTCCATGACAGTGTGATCAGGTAAGAGCACAATCCCACCCTTTTCTGTTCCTAGAGTAGGGGCACGGGTAGAGTGGAGCCCAGGGAATGGGCTTGGCAGCTAGTCTGTGATCTTTCCTGGCTTCACCACATGTGAACTGAGTGTGACCTTGCAAGTTTTTTAACCTTTATTTTTTAAACTCAACTTGTTTTAAAAAAAAATTTATTTATTTATTATGTATACAATATTCTGTCTGTGTGTATGCCCACAGGCCAGAGAAGGGCACCAGACCTCATTACAGATGGTTGTGAGCCACCATGTGGTTGCTGGGAATTGAACTCAGGACCTTTGGAGGAGCAGGCAATGCTCTTAACCTCTGAGCCATCTCTCTAGCCCCCAATCTTTCTTTTTTTAACCTCCATTTCTTCATCTTTAGAGCTACCTCTGAGACTAAGTTCCATTTCTGAGTGTCAAGAATAGTGCCTGGTACACAGTGGGGCAGGGTAAATTGGCATCAGTAGTGTTGTAAACTTGGAAGATGAGGATTATCTTCATTTTGGGGGGTTCCTAATAGCCTGTGGAATTGGAGCATCCTTTTATTTTACACCTGTGTACTGTTAGCCACTATAGTGTCCTGCATATTTTAAGGACTTAGATTATAATAAAAAAAAAATAGTCTACAAAATTTGCCTGGAAGGGGAGATGTAGCGGAGCAGGCGAGCAGGCCAGCTTTTCGTCCCGCCTGGCTCCCACATGGCTAGCTTAGCCCCAGAATAATTACACAGAAATTGTATTCATTTACACACTGCCTGGCCCATTAGTTCCAGCCTCTTATTGGCTAATTCTCACATCTTGCTTTAACCCATATTTAATAATCTGTGGCTTACCAGGAAAGATTCTAACCCACGTCCATCTCAGGCCGGAGCTTCATGGTGGTTGCCAGACTCTGCTTTCTTCCTCTCAGAATTCTGTTCTGTCTACTCCACCCACCTAAGGGCTGGCCTATCAAAAGGCCAAGGCAGTTTCTTTATTAAGCAATGAAAGTAACACATAGACAGGTGACCCTCCTACATTAGGGAGACACCATAATCCAGAAGGTGATCCTTCCCAGGGTGAGGCTCAGCCATGACCCTTGGGTTGTGCTGACCCCTTCTATTTCCCCAAACATGGGAAATTTCACTATAGAACTTATGATAATGGAGGACTGTTTATAGTCTCCCCTACATTAAAAGAAAATAGTATGCAAAGTTTTTTAAAATAATTTTTGGTTTTGTTTTAAAACAAGGGTTGGAGTTTATTGAGACAATAGTTTAATATAGATTTAAACCCAGGTATTAAGAGAGTGGGGCTTAAGAAAAGACAGTATTATATGCCTCTGAGTAGATGTGGACTTCTCAAGAGGGAGGTGCTTTATTCCACTTTTGACCCATGTGTCTCTACCTGCTCAAGCCCACTTACAATCCATGACTTTTGGAGGGGAGAGAAACCAAAGAATAGGTGTTAAAAGGAGAATTGGGACATAGTGAATGAGATAACAGTATTTTCACTCTAAAAAGATGTTCTGGGAAGGCGGGGACAATTAAAGCTGTCTCCTTGGGCCAGTGAGGTAGTTCCACAGATAAGGCTGTCTCTATCCCTTGACCTGCTGTAAGAGGGCAGACAGGGGGACACAGTACTGGGTGACAGTTGGTTCTTCAGCTGTCAGTCAGCCCGGGAAGGCTTTGTGCCAGCACGATACAGCCCTGGAGGAGAGAAGGAGCACATACCCTTCACACGGACCCCTCAGAACTAGTTGAAGACTGTATAAGAGGAGGCCTAGCTGGCTTGGAACTCACTATAGTTCAGGTTGGCCTCTTAACTCACAGAGATCCACCTGCTTCTACTACCTCTGCCTTCTGAAATGTGCCACTATGCCTGACTAACTTTTTTTAAAATTTATTTATTTATTATGTATACAGCCTTCCTTCCATGTGCACCTGAACACCAGAAGGGGGCACCAAATCTCATTATAGGTGGCTATGAGCCACCATGTGGTTTCTGGGAATTGAACTCAGGAACTCTGGAAGAGCAGTCAGTGCTCTTAACTACTGAGCCATCTCTCCAGCCCCAACTAAACTTGTTTTAATCTTCGTTTTTGACTCCAGTACCTGGCATATGATAAGTTTGCCCTACTCAGTGTAATCTGCTTAAGAAATGTTATTTTTATTTTTATTTATTTTTTTCTGAGCATAAATCTAAATAGCAGATAACTCTGAGGCTTTGAGAATCAGTTTCCATCATTTCAAAATGCCAGTCTGTTAAACTTATGGGACACAGCATCTACTAACTAGCACTTCCTTGCATATTGTAAGAAGCATGCCTTTTACTCATTACATCCTTCTTTCAGCCAGTGGAGTGAAGAAGATGAGCTCGCTGATGCCAAGCAGAACTCGGAGTGGATGGATGAGTGTCAGGATGGCATGTTTGAAGCCTGGTATGAAAAAATAGCTCAAGAGGATCCAGAGAAGCAGAGGAAAGTAAGACCTCTCAACTAGAGCAATCTGCGTGACTTGCTAGGGTTTGGAGAGGAGGGTGTCCCTGGGGTGTGCTTGGATGATGTCTCCCAGAGGGCTTCTGGGAACATTCAGGACCAATGTCTGTCTTCATCCTGGTGGGATCCATCATGGTGGCTTACTTCCATAGGACTAGGCTCTCAGCAGAGTGTCCAATAAGGCTGATGTACATTATTAGATTCCAGTGTATTAAATTAGTGAGAAATGGAATTGCCAAAGTTGGGACTCTCATACTCTGGGCTGGCACACTGTCCTCCTGTAGGCAAGCAGCATTCCAATTACAAAGATGATAATCAGGTGAGCTTGGAAGCAGCTCCAGTTTATCCTATGAGAGCTAATGATGCACATGGTAGAGGAATCAACTTAGGCAGGCTGTCTGTCTTTATGTAAGGTGTCCCATCTGCCACTACACGTGTCAGACATCTGGCATCATGAAGACACTAATTTCCCCATATTAAGTACTTTCTGTTTGCCAACTGCTCTGTCCATTATAGTACCTCTGTGATACTTAAGAGGAAAACACCAACTGGGACTTGTGACTTCTCTCTTGCAAGTTCATGTCTGAATGAGAGCATCCTGTAGTGCTCAGATGACCTGGCAGATTTCTTCTCCTACAACATACCATCTACTACCAAACACTGACTTTCTGACTTGGTTTCCTCATATGCAGACTCTAAAATGAACTACCTTATAACCACCAAGTACTTTTTAGTAACCCTGTAGCTTGCTCATATAACAGTCTCTTACTATCTGCTCCCAGGAAGGAAATTAGCTAGCTAATAGAAAGTCTGTTGGCTAGTTGTGTGGTTAGCTAGTTAGTTAAAAATGAAAAACTTACATGATCTGAGGAAAAACCAGAGTACTGTTTGTTTATAAAGAGGTCCAGACTGGCCTATAACTTGCCCTCCTGCCTCAGTCTACTGAATGCTAGGATCATGAGAAAGCATCACCATGCCCTGCAGTTTTAATGTGTCAGAATCAAGAGTCCTCCTTTGATGCTTGTTAGCATTTCCATTGTCTAACAAGTACCCAAGCCAAACATCTGGGTGTCATTCTTGACAGTCCCTTTATTAATTTGGTCACCAAGGCTTCTCACTTTGCCTCCTTAATACTCTCAAATCTGCCTACTTTCCTCATCCTGTTTAACAGCTCAATCCCTGCCCTTATTACAGCCATGGAGTTACTTGAACAGCTGTATCATAGTCAGCTTCCCTGACCCTTGTCTTGGTCTATCAATCCATTCTTTGCTCTGCAACCAGAGGAACCTTCAGAGTGCCCGGATCTATTGCCATTACTTTCCTGTTGAAAAATTGCTTTTAAACACTAGCTGTGTAGGCTCCTGTAGTTTACCTTTCTAACTTCACCTGGTTATTCCTCCTCTGTACTCTATTATACATGCTGTATATTGCCCATTTTAGAAGCCCTGGAGCTAGAGATATGGTTAGTGGCTAAGAGCACTTGCTGCTCTTCCAAAAGATCCAAGTTTTGTTTCTAGCCACCGATGCTGGGTGGCTGACAACTCTATCTCTAGGTAATTCAATGCTTGCTTCTGCAGGTACACATACATTGCTGGCATATACATACATCGGCATACACATGTGCATAAATAAAATAACATCTTTTTAAAAGGCAAACCAAAAAAAAATGTCCTTTTTTTTCTTTTTGTTTTTCTGTGCCTTATGCCTGCTAGGCAAGTGCTCACACACTCAGCTACATCCCCAGCCCGTGTTATGCTCCCTTTTTACAGGAGGAAAGCTTCTGTGGACTTTGCTGTTCCTTCTGTCTCCACCCAACTACCATCTGTTTGTTCTTGGTTTTACCTGAGGAATTGTCTTCCTTGAAAAGCCTTCCTTGACCCTCCAGATTCCTTTGATAGTGTCCTTTGTTTTCTCTGAGCTTCCTGAATTTGCCTCTCAAAGCATTCCCCACATAGTATGACCATCATCTGTTTGCTTGAGGGAATTCCTAAGTGGGTACTTGCTTATCCAACTTCAAATCCTAGCACCTGGTACAAAGCTTGGGCTCCTAGGTTTCTATTGAGTGAATGAATTGATTAATGAACAGTGGCCACAACAGAAAGGCTGTTGGCTAATTGTGTTCATTTCACCTTACAGATGCACATGTTTATTGCTCGCTACTGTGACCTGTTAAATGTGGACATCTCTTGTGATGGGTGTGATGAGATTGCCCCCTGGCATCGCTACCGATGTTTGCAATGCAGTGACATGGACCTTTGCAAGACTTGTTTCCTTGGTAAATTCAGAGGGAATCCCATGTCCACAAGCAACAGTCATTTCTGCTTTCTGTGATTTTGCCATTTTAAAAATTCATTGTGCTGAATAGAGACATTGTCCAGTGTCTCTGGTTCGTTCTCCCTCAACTCAATGATGAGCTTTACTGCTACTATCTGGCATCCTTCCATCTCCCATCCTGCTGGGGAGGCCCTTGATAAACTCTCAGGACTAATTAATGCAGGCCCAGATAAGTTTCTAAGAAATTTTGCTTCCGAATCACACAGTAGTTCCAAATAGCAACATATGTGAACAAGCAAAATAAGCTTGAAATATTCTTTAATATACTTGTCTCATAGGTGCTAGGGCAGAGCCTCTCTGCAATAGTGAGTCCTGGAGGGTTCCGTGTATTTGAAATCCAGCAGTAAAAGACACAGTTGCTGTTCTGGAAATACAGTCTACCAGAGACCAAACGTATCCACATAATAAATGCATATGCTGTTGTAACTGAGCCAAGCAAAGTATTTCTGGAAAATTTTGGAAATATTGCAGCTCTCTACAGAGAAGCCTTGTGGAGGAGATAGGGTAAGAATTGATCTTTGAAGGAAGTTCAAACTGGATGGCATTGCAAAACTCTGAAGATAGCATTACCATCAAGAGCAGAGCAAGCTCAGGGACAGGAAGGAGTGCTTTCAGTGAGTTTAGATAGATACCCTTGAGTATCTGTTTAGTTAAGTGATGGAATAAGATGGACAGGGTCCAGGTTGTAGGACCCTGAGATGCTAGGCTAAGGAATTGAATAGTCTGAAGACAGGAGGGACAGTTTACACCTAGGATGTTACCATGGCCAAAGCTTTGGTCAGGGGAGACTGTCCGTGTTGTTCTCCTTTAGGAGACTCTAGTCACACTGGAAACAGAAGTGGCCAGCTGTGAGGAGATTGAGCAGGGACTTAGACTGAGAGCAGAGTACCTTGTCTTGTTCATGTCTGTTCTTCTCTTACTCATCGGGTCTGGGGTTCTGAAGTCTATTTTCACCTATAATTCTGCAGTGACAAAAAAGAACAGAAACTTGATCACTGATGTGCTCCAGAGGAACACACCAGTGGTTGTGTAACTTCTATCAGAGATGGGGTGTAAGAGATAACTCACAAAATGCATGGGCCTTTTTCTCCCAAATAGTAGTCATGGTAGTAATTTGGCATGTATTTGATTTGACTGTGACACTGTAGGATGGGGATCAGTCAGCTGGACCATTGCCAGAGTTCTATGCTGAGAATATCATTGATATGCTTGCTCATGGCCACTGGGGCATTCTAGTCTTCCATGGAACCCCTGCCTTCTGGAGTAGTAAATGAGAAATGGCTCTGGTGTTGGGATCGGTTTGCTAGCATTCTGGGGGACCCTCTACCCCATCCACCTCACACACTGCTGGTTTTTCTTCAGGTGGAGTGAAGCCTGAGGGCCATGGAGATGATCATGAAATGGTCAACATGGAGTTCACCTGTGACCACTGCCAGGGTTTGATCATAGGCCGGAGAATGAATTGCAATGTGTGTGATGACTTTGATCTTTGCTATGGATGCTATGCAGCAAAAAAATACTCCTATGGGTATGTCAGTTGTCTTGCCACCACCATGACCTTTTGGGCTATGTCTTTACTTAAAGGAGGTGTTTTGCTTTTTTCTGTGGTGCTAGGGATTGAACCCAGGACTTCACAGATGCTGGGCAAGCACTCTACACCTGGGCTATACTGCTAGCCTTCCTTACTTTAAAATATTTGTATTGTTATTAGGTGTGTGTGTGCACGCGTGCATGCATACACATGTGGAGATGAGAAGACAGTTTTGTGGTGTCACTTCTCTCTTTTCTCCTTTTTGTGGGTTCTAGAGATTAAACTCGGGTCACCAGGTTTGCTAAATGCCTTTCTTACTAAGCTGTCTTGTGGCCCCTCTCTTATTTTTTTTAAAAGAAAGGTTTTGTTTTGTTTAATACAATTTTTAAAATATTTAGAAGAGGAGAGATTAGTACAGTGCACCCTGTGTCCTCGGATTCATCAGTTAGGGAGATGGCATCATGAGTGCTTACTACATCCCTTTCTTTTACCTTATTTATTTGTTTTTTTATCCATTGAAATTTTATTATGCATTAGGGAGCTTAACCTAAAAACCAACAGAATAGTAAAAAGATATGTTATATCTGTTCATGGCTTCAAAATATATTTTCCTTTGATGGCTCAGCAGTTAAGAGCACTGGCTGCTCTTCCAGAGGTCCTGAATTCAATTCCCAGGAACCACACAGTGGCTCACCTTCAAGTACTTAAAACACATTTCAAACCTTAAGTCATTTCTTTCCTTTATCTTGTAATTCATCTTTTTAAATTATGGGCATTACATTATATTACCAAATTTCAGTAGCACACCCTCAGAAATCTCTGAACTCTGTCTTCCTTTGCGTGGTTCCCATGTGCAGGCTTTAGGTTGTGAAGTGCTAATGTGAGATGCCCAGTGTTTGTGTTTGTTCATTTCTCTGGGGAAAGAGTTGATAGTATTCTTTAAAGCTTCAGTAACCACAGCCTATTGGTGACTAAAGCACATACACTCCTGAGGTTCTAGGTATCTTTGTCAGAGTCTCACGAATGCTGTAGGCCTTAAAACTCTCCTGTCTCTGCAGCCACTTGCCAACCCACAGCATCACAGCCCACCCAATGGTGACCATCCGGATCAGTGACCGGCAGAGGCTCATCCAGCCCTATATTCACAACTACTCCTGGTTGCTCTTTGCTGCCCTGGCTCTCTATAGTGCCCACCTGACCAGCACAGAGCACGAGGATGGGGAGCAGCTGGACCCCCGGGCCCGCAGCAACGCTGCTTCCCTGCGGAGCCAGTGCATGCAGCTGGTTGGGGACTGTCTGATGAAGGCCCACCAGGGCAAAGGTAACTAACTATTCCTATGTAGAACCCCAGCCCTGCCTCTGCTTGCTGTTGGCCAGAAAGCCCAGGCAGCCATAAAAGGCTCAGAGGTAGTATACAAGAGGGATTCAGCATAGCCTGGAACTTAAGTCTCAGTTTCTTTCTAGAGGACTGTTGTCATAAAGTAGCTTTTAGTTAGTCAAAGTGTTTCCCTGACAACACAGTGCAGCATTAATAGTAAAATTCGGGGAGTCCATGGATCTGTAATATTTGAATCTCTCACTTTGCTCAGGAATCCATGTTTTTTTTTTTAATACCTGAAGTACAAATCCACATGTACTTGTATCCAAGATGAAAGCTGCTTACAAATAATGGTGTGTGTCTGGGTGTGACCACGCACATCCAGATCCAGTTCTGTGGAGGTTAAGTGGGTCTACTTGGATACCCTTTCTCAAAATAACAAAATAATGAGTTAGTTCTGACTTCACTGAAGTAATTCTGACTACTTTTTTAGAAAGAAAGTAGTGTAAATGTTAAACTTCCGAGACATTTTAGTTTCTCTCCGATGGTAGACTCCTCACCCTAATTGATACTAGGAAATCATACTTATGTTACGGAGAAGGGGGGTGATATCTCTATCTGTGGGTGGGGGGATTTAAAAACCTAGTCACTAGCCAGGCATAATGCAGTACATGCCTTTAATCTAGCGCTCTGACAGCTCTGCAAGTTCAAGGCCACCCTGGTCTGCAAGTTCCAGGCAAGCCAGAGTTACATAGTGAGACCCTGTCTCAGGAAATAATAATAATAGTTACTTGGCACTACCAGAAAAAAAAGTTTCTATTTTTTAAAACAATCCTGTCGCCTGTTGTATCTTCAGTGTTTCATTGTGCTTAAAGTGCAGGTGCCCTTTGCTGTTGTCTTTCCCATCTGAGATCAGGAGGGGCATGGCAGGCTGCCAGAGATAACTGCTGTATGATTTGTGTGACACCCCCACTCCTGCCAAGCCATCTGTTTCTATACAGTGGTTAAACTTTGTGGCACTCGCCAGTAATATCCCTGTTGTGAATGTTTAACCGTGTTCTTGTTTCTTCCCCTTCCAGGTCTTAAAGCTCTAGCTCTTCTTGGTGTATTGCCAGATGGTGACTCTACCTCAAAAAATCAAGCCCTGCCAGGAATAATGTCCATCCAAACCTCAGAGGACCAACTAGAGAAGACAAAAGTTCAGCTTGCTGAGGAGCCAGCAGATGCGAGCTTGTTAGTGCCCTGCAGTGTAAGTAGTGTGTCTTTGCTATGTGGTCACAGCTTGCATTCAGGGAGCCAGTCACACAAAGAGGCACAACAGGGAAGTTAAGAGCATGGATTATGAAACTGAAGACTTCAGTGCTCAACTTTGGTTTATATTCAGCCAACAGATAGATAATAACAAAAGTTTACTGTTTTAACAAGTAGACACGGGTAGGTGTATCGACAGAAAAACCTTTATAGGTCCAAGCATGATCTGTGTTGGTGGCACAACAAACATCCTTTTGTTAATTTAAAATAATATTAAATAACTTAACAAAAGATTGTTTTTGCAGAAGTTTGCCTTCAGAGCTTTAGCCCATGCTGTAAATTTCCCCAATGTTGCAGGAGCCACTGGTGTTTCTGTTGTAAGCCCATCAAGGTACCAGGTCAGGATAATCTCAAGCTGCCTGCCAGTCTCTCAGCATCAACAGTGTAGCCACACAACATTTTAACCTGCCACAGATTACCTTACACAAGAAGGGACAGCAGTCCTCACCTTATTCCCGGGACTGTGTGTATTTGTGAGCCCTCAGCATCCTACAAGAATCTGTAGCAAGCTGCCCACAACATTGTGGTCACCATCTATCAATGTGTTCATTCATTTACACAAAAATGGACTTGAGTTTTTATTTATTTTGATGCTCAGATTGACCCCATGTTTGTGGCCCACTGGCCATTCTTGCTTGGCTTTTGTATTCTCTCTCTCTCTCTCTCTCTCTCTCTCTCTCTCTGTGTGTGTGTGTGTGTATGTGTGTGCGTATAGGTGCAGGTACGTTCTGTAAAAGGGGGTGATAATAATAGTGATTGTAACACAGGGCTATTGTAGGAGTTATGTGCTGTCCACACTTGAAAGAAACATGTAAAGTGTTTAGACCATGCACACAGTAAGCTCCGTCTTAGAAAAGGACTTGCGTGTCCTGCACCATTACTCTCTGCCAGAGTCCTTGAGGCAGGATTTCTCGCAGAACCTGAAATTAATGTGATCAACAAGCCCAGCAATCCTCCTTCCTCTTCCCTTGGCAGCAGTTACAGGTATAACACATTCATGGCCACATCCAGTCTATTTTTTTACATCCCAACCACGATCTTTCCTCCCTCCTCTCCTCTCATTCATTTTCCCCATCTTCCTCCCACCCCCACATCCACTCCTTCTCTGTTTCTGTTCAGAAAGGGGCAGGCCTCCCATAGGTGGCAACAAAACGTGTATATGAGTGATGGGATCTGACTCGTCCTCATGCTTGTATATTAAGGCCTCTTATGCACTGAGCTCATACCTCTGTCCTATACCCTGAGAATATTCATTTCTATATCAATAAAATATCTTCATCTGTGGCAGGAGAAACAATATTATGTGTAGATTTGATGTAACCTTATCTTTATAATAGCATTAAAGAGAATAGTAGATATAATACTTTTCTGATTGTAAATAAAGATGGGTTTTATTTTTCTTTGGTATGTGTATGCTGTATGCATGTGTACATTTTCATGTGTACGTGCATATCAACATCAAGAGTCTTCCTCTATCACTCTTCACCTTATTCTTTTTGAGGCAGGTCTCTTACTGAACCTAAACACCAATTCAGCAATACTAGCTGGTCAGTAAGCACCAGGGATCCCTGTCTCTGCGTCCTCCCATGCTGGGATTACAGGCACTGTCTACCACACTTGACTTTTTACATAGTTGCTAGAGATCCAAACTTAGGTCCTCATGCTTACATGGCAAGCATTTTGTTGATTGAGGCATCTCCCAGCCTGTGTCTGTTTTTTCTGCAAAAAAGTAAAATATATAAAGATGACCACTCTATTGTACTAGCAGAAAATCAACAACTTCATTTTTTTCCCCCAAAGAACTTTCCATTCTTGGCTTCTGGAAGCCAAACAGAATATACTGAAGATTTGTTATCAGCCATTGCTTATGTGACCTGGAAGCTCTGATGGCACTTCCAAGATGATCAGGGGATGTGATGGGAGAATCATTATTGTAGAGTAGTGGTTTATTCTAAGAAATCAGTGACATTTTTCTAAGGATATTCCAAAGATTTTTAGTTTGTGAAAGACTAACAGTTGTATACAGTAGTATATATGGAGTACATTTTTGTTATATTTTTTTACATTTACCTCCTGTTTTTAGGGAAAGAGAGCTGCAGATAAAGAAGTCAGACCTTTGGATTATAAGCAGAGGAAAACGGCAGGTGAAAGTCTCACCTTAATGAAGGACCCTTTGTACCAAACCCAAACTTCTGATGCACCTGCAAATGCTCACATGCCTCCAGGACCTCCAGGTCAGGAACATATGGCTGTTAACCCCACTCCTTCCTCTCCAAGTGCATGCGTCATCACGTCTGCACTGTCACATACAGTTGGAAATTGTCCAGTACCTGAGGTTTCTCCATTCTGTTCAGCTGCAGCTGGTAACCCTGCATCACCTATACTTTAGCTTATCTAGTCCATGCATTTACCAAGAGCCTTCTCTTTGTTGAGATCCCGGGGGTGAAATCTACCAACATAGGCATAGGCACACATGGCCTCTGCCCTCCTGGAACTCACAATCCAGGAAGGTTTCAAATAACTGTCATTGAAAGTGGTCCCAGGAGAAGGGTGATGAATGCGAGCCCTGATTGCGATCTAGAGCAGATTTTATCTTTATAAAGCGGTGTAGAAGGAGATGTAAAGCTCCTTGCATGTGCCAGGATATGCAGTAGGGGCTGACATCAGGCAAAAATCACTGTGAGAAAAGGCCTCTTAGTAGGTTCCAGAACTAACATGAGGAGAAGTCCTCATGCAGGTGTGCAGAGCCCTGGAACATGACACAGAAGAGCTGCTGTGGTGCTCTGCTGCATGCTTCTGATGGTCAGGCCTCAGGCTGTGAAAAGATGGACATGGTGGGCTTGGAGCTGGGGTTTTGGAGGGTGGAGGTATAGTGTTGGGTTGAAGGAGATGCTTCAGGTAGCACTGGTTGGTTGTTCTATAATAGAATGGAAGGGAGTAGATTCTACACCGTCTTCAGGGCCAACTCTCAGAAGCAGTAAACATCATGCCAGGTCCTCAAAGTCTACCAGAGTCAGATTCCCCTGAGGATTAGCATTCTGGTCCATAGGCAACAAGTAAGTGTCAAGTACCCCCATGTTCTGGGACATTGCTAAGTGCTTGAGGTATATCACAAAAGAGGCAAAAATCAGAAGGGTAAATAATGAACAGCAAACACAAATATGCAGAATGTTAAAGGGTAATCAAATGCTAGAGAGCATCTGGTTTAGAGCAGGGTCAGAGAACAGGGAGGACCGTTCCTATTCAATTAGGGAGCAGGAAGGCCTCCTTGAGAAGGTGGCTGTAAAAAGTGTTCAACAATAGAGTTTGTTATTTTTATGGGTTTTGTTTTTGTTTTTTAAAAGATTATAATTTTATGTCTATGGGTGTTTTGTCTACATGTATATCTGTGTACCAAGTATGTGCCTGGTGTAGGCAGAGAATCAAATTGGAGTTACAAGTGGTTGTGAACCACCATGTGGATGCTGGGTTCAAACCCAGGTCCTCTGGAAAGCAACCAGTGCTCTTAACCACTGAGCAAACTCTCCAGCCTCTTTGTTCTTCTTTTTGAAACGAAGTCTTGCTGTGTAGCCCAGCCTAGCCTCAAACTCTTGGTTAGCCACCCTGTCAAGTGCTAGGGTTCCAAGCATGCATTACCATGCCTTATTTCATCTATAGAATATCCAGCTCCCTTCTATAGGATCACAAGGACAGTGTCGTGGCTTAGTTGCCTTCTCTGTGTGTGAAACCCGGCAAAATCTGAATGTGTTTTCCCGCATAGATGCTGAACGTCCAGAAGTGTCATCTCAGACAGCAGAAGAGAAGGCAGTTACTCCAAACCCTGAGCAGGTGTTTGCAGAATGTTCCCAGAAGAGGATTTTAGGATTGCTAGCAGCCATGTTACCTCCCATCAAGTCGGTAAGAGGCAGGCAATGTTTTCTTTGTGGAAGAGTGGGTGGTTGTAGTCACAGGAAAAATGGCGATAAGATGTAAGCCAAAACCAATGATTAGCAACAGCTCTGTGTCCTGAGGGAGGGGACGATTATGAATTAAAGTTAATTTCTCCTTTGAACTTACATTTTGTATGAATGCGATTGACTGTTTTTTAATTATTTTTCTTATTCTTATAGTTATATTTTTTTGGTTTATCTAGACAGGGTTCTCTGTGGAACAGCCCTAACTGTCCTGGAACTAGCTCTGTAGGCCAGTCTGGCCTCGAACTCACTCACAGAGATTCATCTGCCTCTGAAGATCATGTGTGTGCGCGCACACACACACACACCTACATGAGTTTATACACACCACATGCTTTCAGATGCCATGGGCCAGAGGACATTGGATCCCCTGGGACTGGAGTTAGAGGGAGTTGAACCCCATCTTGTCTTTTCCAAGAGCAGCAAATGCTCTTAACCACTGAGCCATCTGGCTACCCCTATTGTGGTAACTTTCATAATATTAATATCTTCAAAGAATCTAGCTTAGCTATATCCTTAGTATTCTTATAATTTTCTGAACTCTTCATATGTGCATATCTTATATGAATTTTAGTATTATGTTTTAGCAAGACCCTGTCAATTTTCCCCTTTAAGATCTGGTGAGTTATTTTCTTTGGAATAGCATTAGATATATATTAATTTAGGAATAACTGACATCTTTAACAATACTATGTTTTGTTTTTTCTCATGGCTAGGAATTAGAGCTAGCAAAATGTGGTTCATTTTTTTATTGCTAAGAGTTTTTAGTGCTACTGTTGCTTTGTTTTACTAGTATGTATACAGTTCCCTCTTGAATCACACTCACTATGCTAACTCACAATTATTAAAGAAGTTCTCCGGTTTTCTCTTTTTTTCCTATGGAAAATAATAAATGGTTTAAATGTAGTCAGCTGTTTTCTAAATGGCATTTTTAATAGTATAGCATTGGAAGCCAAGTAAAATGCAGACATTATTTAAAGAAAGAAAAATAAGGCTGAGAAGATGACTTGATAGGTAAAGCGCTTACCATTGAAGCTTGAGGATCCCAGAACCCACTTAAAGTTGGACAGAGTTAAAAAAAAAAAAAAAAACTAACCATAATAGCGGTTCATAATTGGATAGAGTTTTGGCTGTTGCACACTTTTAGAAGTTTTAGGTAATATCTTTATGATGGTTTAATATAATACAAATAGTTTATAATATCAAAAATCAATACTGCTGTTAGATCTTCCAATTCAAAACATCTAAGATTTTCAAGAATAAAGTGAGGGGAAAAAAAGTTGGCTAGAGTAACATGTGTCTCCTCATGGAGACAATGGTGTAGGTGGAGACAGAAAAATCCCCTGAAACTCTTAGGCAAACTAGTCTGACGTATACAGAATCAAACAACAAAGAGACCCTGTCTCAGACAAGGTACAAGTTACCAACATTGGAGGTCTTTCCTTGGCCTCCACATGTGCAAACATGCACGTCATACTGAAGGAAGGGAGGGAAGGAGGGAAGGAGGGAGGGAGGGAGGATAATTTGCAGGTGTTGCTTACAGATGTTTATGGAGAAAGGTTGGCAAACTGTCCATCCAACTGTTAGTAGTTGTTACTTCCTTGACACTGGTGGATTAGAGAGGGGCTGTGATGGAAAGTCTGAATTTTATGTGTTTTTTTTAGTTCTTTGAATTCTTTATAATGAACATCATCAGGAAAGGAAGAAAAAAGCAAGTGTTTAAGGATAAAGGAATGTTAGAAGCGGAATAAGAAGGGATTGGAGACACAGCTCAGCAGTTGAGAGTCCTTGCTACTCTTATGGAGTTTGGTTCCCAGCACTCATGTCCAGAGGTTCAACACCTGTAACTCCAACATCAGGGGATCCATTGCCCTCCCTCTTCTGGGCTCCAGAGGACCTGCACTTACACACACACACACACACACACACACACACACACACACACACACGTAAAAAAATAAATTTAAAAGATAAGATGATACTTGAACTTATTTATTTTATTTACAGTAGATTGTACACATGTCATTTTTGAAACTGGAATTAGGCCAGTTGTAATACATGAATGGGGGGCATGTATAGATGATGTGGCTGACTGGATTTTGTACTAAAGAGATTTCCCCTCTCTGTTGACAGGGTCCCACAGTCCCCCTGATAGACCTGGAACACGTCCTCCCACTCATGTTTCAGGTTGTCATCTCCAACGCAGGCCACCTGAATGAAACCTACCACCTTACCCTGGGTCTTCTGGGCCAGTTAATTGTCCGTCTTTTGCCAGCAGAGGTGGACACTGCAGTCATCAAGGTCCTTTCAGCCAAACACAACCTGTTCGCTGCAGCAGACAATGGCTTTGTGCCAGATGGCTGGAAGACCACTCACCTGCTCTTCAGCCTGGGCGCTGTCTGCCTGGACAGGTAACCTTAGTTTTCACATACTCAGCCTCCACTCCACCCTTTGTGGTACTCACTGTTGATGAGTTTCAATGTGCTGCAGTGCTGAGGCTCTGCTGTGAGAATCCAGCTCACAGCTCCACACTGAAATAGCTGAGAGCCTTAGCAGTACCTGCCAGTCTACTCTGATGAGATTTATTCGGGTAGATTTTTTCCTGAGAAAACTAAGTGTAGGCACTGGGGTTAAAAAGTGTTTTTATTATAAAAACAATAATCATAATACCAAATGTGAAATAAAGAAGGAAAATGACCTTGATTTGTCCATATGCATCTCTAAGCGCCTGTCTGAGTAGGACTGTGAGTATGAGTGTGTCTGTGTGTGCTTGTGGAGAGAACACTCTAGAGCAGTGACTCCAGCCTCCCTAACATTGCGGTCCTCTACTGGAGCTCCGCATGTTGTGGTCACCCCACCGTAAAATCATTTTTAGTGTTACTCATAACTGTAATTTTGCTGATGTTATGAAGAAAACCTTTCAACCCTAATGCCTATACTTAATTTTCTTTACATTATGAATCATATTGTAAATATCTGTGTCTTCAGATGGTTTTTTTGATATGTGTATTGGTGTTTTGCCTTCATGTATGTGTGTGTGAGGGTACTTGATTCCCTGGAACTGGAGTTCTAGACAGTTGTGAGCTGCCATGTGGATGCTGGGAGTTGAACCTGGGTCCTCTGGAAGAACCGCTGGTGCTCTTTACCTCTGACCCATCTCTCCATCCCTTCAGATGGTCTTAGATGACTTCTGTGAAAGGGTTGGTTGACACCCCCCAGATGGGTCATGACCCAAAGTTTGAGGACCACTGTTTTACAGAGATTTGAGAACATAGTTATAGGTAGAGTTTATAGGCTGAGTATATAAGCAACGGATTTTGTTGTTTTCACTTGTCTTTATGTGAAAAGCATCCTTTTGGTAACTTTTAAGCTAAGTAATGGATGGTTCTTTGCATGAGTCTGACTATCTAGGACAGTGAGCTGTGATGTTTGTGAGGGTGTAGCGTCACACATTGCCACCTAACATTGGAGCTCTTGCCTTCTAGCCGAGTGGGTTTGGACTGGGCCTGCTCCATGGCAGAGATCCTTCGGTCACTCAACAGTGCCCCATTGTGGCGAGATGTCATTGCTACCTTTACAGACCACTGCATCAAGCAGCTTCCTTTCCAGCTGAAGCACACCAACATCTTTACCCTGCTGGTGCTTGTCGGCTTCCCCCAGGTACAGCATCTGAAAGCCTGTTTGCCAAAGTCTATAGGGCATGTGCATGCACACACACATACACACACACACACATTCTTGCATACGCATGTGTGTATGTATCTGTAATGGTCTTGGAAAAATTTTTAATTGCATAATTTGCTTTTATAGTCTTGGTATATTTTCAGAATTGTGTGGTTGTTATACTTGCATTGTCAACAGTTAGACGTTTGATTAATTTTTCTAGCTTTGAATAATAGTAGGTAACTATAATGTATTCAGTTACAAAGATCTTCAGAGACCGTTGTCTTTCACTCTGGCACTCATGTTGATTTTCTCAGTTTGTATGCCTCATCTGACTGGGGTGAGGACCTGCAAAGCTATGGCAAACACCTAAACTAATTTTGTGCCAGGTCTGCACCCAATCCTTTGATCCTGTGAATAAGAAGACTCCCCCATCCCTGTGTGCTTTAGAAGAGCAAGCAAGCAAAAGGGACTGAGCTTGTGCCTAATTAAATGCCTCTTCCCGCATCAATGCTCTAGGTCCTCTGTGTGGGAACCCGCTGTGTTTATATGGATAACGCCAATGAACCCCATAATGTGATCATCTTGAAGCACTTCACTGAGAAGAATAGAGCTGTGATTGTCGATGTGAAAACCAGGAAAAGGAAAACAGGTCCTAAGCATAATTATGTCTCCTAAGAATGGAAGAAAATGGTCTAGTCCTTGCATGCTATGAAACCAATGAAGATGCCTCAATTCTTATTCCTGCATGTGATAGTTTAATTTTTTTTAATTACATTTATTTATTTGTGTGCACACATGTTGAGGGGAGAGGCCGCTTTTTCCTTTCCCAGGTGCCCAGACTCCCAAAATAATCTCACAGAAACTTTGCAATACTGTTTGGCCAATAGCATAAGCATATTTCTGGCTAACTCTTACATCTTAAATTAACCCATTTCTATTATTTTAGATTTTATCACAAGGCTCGTGGCCTTCCTACAATGTTCCAGCTACCAGTTCGCATCTTTCCCCTCTGTCAGCTACATGGTGTCTCACTGACCCTGCCTACCCTCTCTATATCTCTTCCAGCCTGGCTATATTCTGTTAAACCATTGGCCGAAAGCAGCTTCTTTGCTAACCAATAAAAGCAACTCATATACAGAAGAACTTCCCACATCACACACACATGCTTATGTACATACACACATATGTGGAGATCATAGGACAATTTGTGGGAATCATTTCTCTCATTTTAACACCTGAGGCCTTAGGGATTGAACTCAGGTTATCAGGCCTGGTGGCAAATGCTGATATTCACTGAGCTATCTCACCAGCTCAGATCTTTACAATTAACTGGACTTCTTTTGCAGAGTATAGTGGTACATGTCTGTAACCTCAGCACCAAGGCAGGAGGATCACACAATCAAGACTAGCCTGATAGTGAGTTTGAGGCCTGTCTGGGCAGCATAATGAAACCTGTCTCAGATAAAATAGTAATAGTAATTAATAAACATAGTACACATGTAAATTGGTTTCTTAGAGATAGCATATAGCCAGTCTTCTTTAATCCAGTTTGACAGTCCCTTGCTTCAATACTTATTCAGGTATTTTATGCTTGATTGAGTTTAATTCTGCTATCTCCTTGCCTGTTTTCCATTTGCTTCTGTTCTTAGCTCTTTTTTCTTCTCTTGTCTTCTTTTGGATTGACTTTTCTTATTTTCTAAAGATTTACTTCACGCCTGTCATTGGTGCTAACTAACTGTTGCTCCGGTGTCAGAGTAGTCAGTACTTTAGTCAGCACTTGGGAGACAGCCCTGAGGCTTGTTCTACACACCTGTGCTGTCTTCAGACGTTATTCCACTTTGCAGTTGTGTAGAAACACTGCATTTGTGCCCCATATCTGCTTCACTCTGTGTTATTATAGTCACACTTTTATTGCACATAATGTAAATCTCATAGTATGTAATGTTGGCCTTTAAAATGTGAGTGATTATTACTGAGTTTTTCTAAATGAAAACAATGTATCTTATACTCAATTATACATTTACTATTTCTGGTGTTCTTCATTGCTTTCTGCAGATTCAAAAGTCTATCTAGTATAATTTTCTCTGATTTGAAACACTTCCCTTAGCATTTCTTGTAGTCCATGTTCTGTCACAAAAATCTATCTGGAAAATGTTCTGACCTCGTCCTTGTTTTTGAGACTAACTTTCACGAGATTGTATGGCTGGCCTTGAAGTTGTAGTCTTTCTGCCTTTCTCTCCCAAGTGCTGGTACTGCAGGTGCGCACTACCACTCCCGGCTTTGACTTTATCTTTCAAATATTATTTTTCTGGGGCTGAAGAGATGGTTCAGCAGTTAAGAGCTCATGCAGAGGACCCTGGTTTGGTTCCCAGCACCCGTATTTAGTGCCTCACAACTACCTGTAAGTCCTGCTACAGGGAATCCAGAACTCACTCCTGTCTCCATGAGCACTGTACTTACTGACATGTACAAGCTCTCACACTGGCAGGCGTGTATACATAATTAAAAGTCAAATCTTTATGAAGCATAATTTTTCTGGATAAAAAAATTCCGAGAGATATTTTGGTATTTGTTGTTATGCTGTCCTCCCTCCCTCCCTCCCTCCCTCCCCCCCCTCCCCCC